TGTTGAAAAAGTAGTTAAAAGGTTTCCTCTTCATGATGCTAAGCCTGTTAGCCTGCCTTTGTCTGGTAGGATAAAACTTTCTGTTGATCAATCACCTAAATCAGAAAATGAACATAAAAGAATGATGAATGTGTCATATTCTAATGCTATTGGATCTATGATGTATTGATGGTATGCTCTAGACCTGATATTGCTTATGCTGTGAATGTGCTAAGCAGATTTATGAGTAATTCAGGTGAATTACATTGGCAATGCATGAAAATTTTGATTAAATACCTGAAAGGAACAAGTCATTTAGGTCTAATGGTCAAAACTGATAAAAATGGATTTAAACTAAAAGGTTATGTAGATTCTGATTATACTGGAAATCCAGACAATAGGAAATCTACAACTGCATATTTTTATGTTATGAATGATACATGCATTAGTTGAAAATCACAATTACAAAAGGTAGTTGTATTGTCTTCAACTGAGGCTGAATACATTACAGCCACTGAGGCTGTAAAGGAAGGGCTATGGTTGAAAGGCTTACTAGGTGAATTAGGACTTATAGAAAATTAGGTGGAACTATGTTCTGATAACTAAAGTGCAATATTTTTGAGTAAAAACCTAGTTTTTCATGATAGGTCCAAGCATATAGATGTTATGTTTCATTTTATTAGGGATATAATTGATAAAGGTGATATTACCCCTCAAATCCGAAGTCCTAGGTCAGATCGCCACATAGACAGCCACTTAACATCTATATGCTTGGATAGTCATACAAAGGCTATTGAGGATAGTCGGGGTGCTTCGGTTCTGGGGATGGTAGTGAGGATGATGAAGTAGCTTGGGGGCAGCCAAAATTTGATCCTACGTGGCATGACATGTGGACGGATGGTCAAACACACCAGTCAAAAGAAGACCCAGCAGGCCAAACACACCAGTAAAGAGGAACAGGCCGAGGCCCTCACACTTCTCCGAAGGATGAAGCTACGTAATGTGGGTGAAGACCTCAGATCTCTTCGAAGTTGTCTCTAACTCATCCGAGGCTCATGAAGCCAACGCCGCCTCTCGAAGTAGATTTGAAGATTTATCAGAAGTGATTAACATAACACTTGTAATAAAAGTTTGTCAGTATGTCAGTCTATTGTATAGGGTGGCTGACCCTTTATCAATGTATTAATTGTATGAATAGACAGTGATATGAAGTCTTAGTTAGGGAGATGAGGTCACGTGGTTCCAATCCAACGATCACCACGTCGGCTAATGCATTATAAATAGGTTATCTTTGTAATTAAAGGGGAGATTGGATCATTGATAGAAGTAGTGTTGTCAATGGGCCGAGCCCAGCCCTTTAAGCCACGAGCTCATGAGCCGAGCCGCTCGTGGGTCGTTTGCTCGTGGGCGTGCTCGGCTCGGCCCACGAGTTCCCGAGCTCACTAGCCGGCTCGGCTCGTGACTCGTCAAAAATTTTTTTTTTTTTATTTTT